GCAGGAAGTGGGAGTAAATCTGTTCACTAACCCCCCTCTTTGCCCCTTCTCCCATCAAAGTCAGGGCTGGAACTCGCATTGATGCGGGAGGGAGGAGGCTGGATTGGTCCTTGGTAAATAACTTCTTTCCCCTACTGCTCCAAGCTAGCAACTCGCTCTTTCTCTCTGCTAATGCTAGGCCAGTCCTGCCGTCTGTCTCAGCTTCACGGCTTTAAACCCAGCTAGGCCAGTGGCTTTTATTTCACTAGGACATTGAAACCTGGATTAATCAGTCCCTTAGAAATGCCCCAGGCCAATTACAACCTGTCCCATGTTAATGTTTGTTTTGACTGCTGGTTAGGACTATAAATGCTTTTCCGTGTGGGTGTGCACAGTGTGTGTGGGGGGTGGAAACGTCTCTTTGTACTCATGACGTACTGTTAACGTTGGTTAGGATCTTCCTAATGTGTAAATTTCCTTTTAAAAGGTGGTAACTTGATTTGCTGACGTAGCTCCTCTTGTTTAGAAAACCAAACTGCCAGAGATTCTTTTTGTGTGGGCCCTGCCTGTTTCCTCTGTGTGAAGAATTATGTAGTGGTAGCTATGATGCTATGCGATCATAATGACTAGAATAAAAAAAAAATCCAAACCAAGCGTGGCCCAGCTTTTGTGCTCGATGAGAAGGAGCTACAGGTGCGGAGAGAGGACCAGTACGTGTCCGACCAGGGGATCACTTGGTTTGACTCAGTCCATGATTCTGCTGCCAACTCCCCCACAAGTTGGTGGACTCTTACAGTTTCAGGGCAACTGCACCTGTATTCCCTCTGTGATCCACCAAGGGCCCCCACTTACAGCTTCCAGGCGCCCACCTTTCACGTCCCTTAGCTCTCTCCCTTCTGACAGGCTGTACAGTTCCCTGCCTACGCTGTGATATCCCCAGACTGCCTAGACAGCCCGGCATTTGTGCTTTGCTTCCTCTCCAGCCGTTATAAACAGTGTAGTTACAAGTTATCACACAGCTCTTTCTAAGCAAGCATGTTCATTCTTAAGGTGAAAGCATTGCAAAGAAAACACATTAAAAACAATAAAAGAACCTACACCCATGCTAAAAAGCTTACCAGAAATCAGCCGCGACTCCAACCTCTGACTGTGGTAGGCGGCAGTCCTCCAAAACCCACACCTGACTTTTCCCCTGCTTACAAATTCATAACTCGATTCAGAAGCAGAACCTAGGCTGGGCAGGTGAGCTGTTGGTTTATGCCCCTGGGCTCTTTGATCTCTTCTCCACGGACAGGTGCGCAGCAGACAACGGCCCACTTCTCAGGGCACAGCTGCAAAAGGCTGGGTTTTTTGCGTAACTGGAAGTGGGGAATTTTCATTCACTCTCCCCCTCCGGCTTCCCTGGGAAATCCACTTCATGCTTTTTGTTTCAGAACTCCACTCCTGCTTGGCACAATTTTAATATAGTCCTCTGACAGCGCCCCCTGGCCTCACATCACACCTCCCCTCCGTCCCTGCAATCTGGCCCACAATAATGCATCAATTTTGCATGTAGTACAATGTGGGCAGATCTACACTTAAGTGCTACAGCTGCACTGATGCAGTGTTTTAAGTGAAGATGCTCCTAAGCTGCTGGGACAGAGCTCTCCTGTTGGCGTAGATAATCCACCTCCGTGAGAGGTGGTAGCTATGGTGACGGGAGAAGCTCTCCCTCTGACACAGCGCTGTCTACAGGAGGGGGGTAAGGTGGG